AGTGGAGCTGGGCGGAGTGAGACATGCATCTGGCTGTTGTCAGGTTACTATAGACCTCCATTATTTGAATGTCAGCAGACAGCAAGAAGCCTCCCAGATCTCCAGATGCATTTGAGATATCAAAAAAGTACTCCAGAGTGTTGTTCAGCATGGGGGTGAGTAGAAAATGAAGGCTAATCATGTTTTGGGTGTACTATTCCTTTAAGATGACTGCAATGGACTGGCGACCTGTCCAGGGTGTACCCCGCCTCTCGCCCGTAGACAGCTGGAGATAGGCACCAGCACCCTTCGCGACCCCAATTAGGACAAGCGTGTCAGATAATAGATGGATGGATGGAAGGTAAGATGCCATAGAGGCTCAAAAATCCTCCAATCTCCCTGAATTTAATAATTGTTTATAGAGAGGGCCAATGAAAAAGGACTCTTCGTGTAATAAATGCCTGATGGCAGCTGTTAGCCTACCCAGCCAGACCAATTTACACTGTGTACATGGGCATATTATTCTGGAAAGGAGCAGGTAGAGCCAGATTTTAAAGGCAGGAACAAAAGAGTCAGCGGAAAACATTTTAAACCTGTAAGATTAATGTGACGCAAAAATATATTTTTAAAAAGAAAAGCTTTTACAACAGCTATTAGTTGAAATTTAAAGATACAAACAGCTTTGCAGCACAAAATACATCAATAAAACATTTCTCCATTGCAGCTGCAATCTTGACTGTTGGGGTTACACAAAAGCAGTTTTGCATTATAGGTCCACCTCCTGCACTGTGATTGGCTTAGGTCTGTTTTAGTCCGGAGAGTATTGAGCCTTACCTGACTCACATGTCCTGTGTATAAGTCAGTCTGGCTCACCGTGCTAGACAGCTGCTGCCCTGAGTGTAGCACAACCAAGTAATAATTCTAGAGGACAGTTACTTTCCACCAAAGGGTCAGGTTGGCATAAGTAGCTTTTTCTCTTAATGTTACATTAAATGTTTATTTGTAAACTGTAGTTTGCATTCAGGGTTTACAAAATGTAGTTTTATTTAAAATAATTTGTCACTCTGAAATATTTACAGTAGGTGAGGAAAAAAATAAAACAGAAGAAACTCATGTAGTCCTACAGACAGGTCTACAGAAATGTTAAATATTGCTTTAGAAATAAATAAATAAATAAATAAATAAATAAACATAAAAATTGAGAAATATGTAAAAAAAAAAAAATAATCCACTAGTTCACTGAAACTTATTTTAGCTGTGAAGTCAGCTTGCATGGCCAGTGGTCTGTAAAAATCTGCCAGCTCTTAGTTTTCTCATATAGTTGCCTATTTCTGGCTTGGGACAGTTTGTCCCTGAGCTGGACAGAGATCTTGTGATGGATTGAGATGGATCAATGGGCAGCATGGCTGATTATTTGTCACCACTACACTTGACATATGGCCAGTTATTTTGCAGCATTTCCGATTCTTCATCATCATTAAACTTCAGACACACATTCTTGGAATCATTGGATGGTTGTCCCATTTATCACCTAGCAGAAAGTATGATTCTCAAATAACTGGCACGCAGGTGTGACTTGGATGCATATTTGCCTGATTTGTTTTTTTACTTCTCATAACAGTCATCAGGTTTGTCTATATGAGGAAGCACACAGATCTAAATTGGTTTTGGGGGGTTTGTTTAAGGGGGGTTTTGTTTGTTCTTCACACCTGCCGGCAGTAACTGCTGGTCATATTGCTGAGGGCTAAATATCTATGAACCACAGAGATCAAAGCACATATCAGAGGACAAACAGAGAGTGATTGTGATGAAAGCGAGATGAAAAATGGATATGAAAGTAAAAGAAAAACTAAAAAAAAAATGTACAAACTACAAAAGTCAAATGCTGTAACAGCTTATCATTGTATCACTTTATGTGGTTTGTTTTGCATGAGGAAATGCTATGCAGGAGGAAAGAGATTATGAGAGCAGGTTGCCAAAGAAGGATATCTGAAATACCTGAACATATCTTAATTTATTCTGTGATATGTTGTTTTTGAACTTTTATTTTAGAAAATAATTCTAAAACAAAGAAAACTATTCTAGACAAGTTACAAGCACGTTGCTCGTTAACAATGAACCAACATACCTGTCAACAGGTTCAAACGTCTGACTGAACATTTCCTGAACATTACAGAAAACAGTTGATTTCAGTGATTATTGCATCAAAGTGTCACTCAACAAAATTTTAGTTCAGGAGCTCCATCAGGCTTGTTTACTTGGTGTATTTATTCATTTTATGTTTTCACTTCCGTGGTTTATTATTTTTTTCATCATTAGTTTTGTTAATTTACTTTTCAACTTATTATATATATATATATATATACATATAGAATGCAATATGAACTAAATTACTCTGTTTTTTCTTATATCTACAAGAATCTTGAATTTATTTAGTTTAATTTAAATACATCTGTTAATAGCACAATATATTTTTTTCTTAGGAGATCTGACCTGTTTTTCTTGTAATTTTTTTTTTATTATGGAATGTGTTATAATAAATAATAAAATAATAATTAAAGGTCTGAAGTTGAGCCCTCCATTAATGGATGATGGGTTAAACATACCTTTCTGATGTTTCTTTTTATAATTAGATCATTTTGTTAATTATATCTCTGCATTATATTCATAGTTATTTATAATAAATAAGGTACAAAACTTACGTATATACCAATTGCTGTAGAGAAATGCAGTTTAGAAATTGCCACCAGCTGCCTTCACAACCTCATAGTCAGGCTTGTTTTTAACTGAGATTAAAATACAAAATGGTAAATTGTTTTTTTACTTGTTGGGTATTGTTTTCTCCCTATTTGCAGGTTTACTAGTGATTCCCAGAATTTCTATTAGTAGAATGGGCAGCATACATTAAAGTTATCAAATAAATTACAGTAAATTGAATTGAACTGAAGTGAATTGACCAGCAGTTACTTTACTTATTTAGAATTTATTCACTGGTATCAGACTAAAA